TCTTTCCCTTTCCTTAAAATGCTACAGCACTCAGTCCCTGTACTGAACAGAGAACTCACTTGTTGTTGCTCAGTCGCACAGTCGAGTCCGACTCTTCGCGACCCCATAGACCAGATCACGCCAGGCCTTCTGGTCTTCCGCCGTCCTCTGAAGTTGGCTCAATTTCATGTTTGTTGCATCTATGACACTGTATAAGTATCTCATCCTTTGCCGTCCCCGTCTTCTTTGACCTTCAATCTCTCCCAGCATCAGGGTCTTCTCCAGGGAGTGCTCCCTTCTCATTGGGTGGCCAGAGTATTTGAGCTTCAGTTTCATTATCTGGCCTTCCAGTCCAGTAGCACCTTAAAGACTAACAAAATTTGTGGCAGGGGCTGAGGTTTCTTGAGTCATTGAAAAAGTGAGCAGTGAGCCAGTGTTCCCTCTAAGCTGAGTTAGTGTGAGCTAGCTCATATTTTTTTAGCCCCCGGCTCACACATTTTCGTCTTAGCTCAGGAAGGGATGGGCTCCAGAGAAAACGACTTTATGCAGTAGCCAAATCGCTTGCTCATGACTTTTATGATGGTAGCTCACCAAATAGAACTTTTGCTCACAAGACTCCACAGCTTAGAGGGAGCATTGGCAGTGACTCACCAAAGCTCGTCCCCTGCTATAAATTTTGTTGGTCTTTAAGGTGCTACTGGACTCTTACTCTTTTATACTGCTACAAACAGACTAACGTGGCTTCCCATCTCGATCGCTCACCATGGAAGTGTACCCTTCTTGGGTATCTATGATTTTGTGTAGCCTCAACCCTACAGTTTTGAAGAGATGAGCTATCATCACACACATATGAACAGTGCCACCATGTCACAGCCCAATTATGGCGAACTCCATAGGGTTTTCAGGGAAAGAGACTTATGGTGATCCTGTAGGGTTTCAAGGAAAGAGACTCACAGAAGTGGTTTGCCATCCCCTTCCTCTGCACAGTGACTCTGGAATTCCTTGGTGGTCTTCCATCCAAATACTAACCAAGGCCAACCCTGGTTAGCCTCCGGCTCTGATGACCACGGGCTACTCTGGGCTAATCAGGCTGCTCTTCACCTATTGTGTGAATAAAGTGCCATTAAGTCACAGCCAACTTATGGTGACACCACAGGGTTTTCAAGACCAGAGACTTACAGAAGTAGTTTGCCATTGCCTTCTTCTCCACAGTGACCATGGACTTCCTGGGTGGTTTCCCACCTAAATTGCTAACCATGGTCAGTTCTTAGTTTCTGAGATCTGACTAGCTTGAGCCATCCACATCAGGGCTATTCATCACATACACATGACTAGATGGCCATCTGACAGCAATGCTGATTCTGTGAATTTAGGCAGAGCGTGAGAACAGAGGGCAGGAAGGGTTGCATCAGTTCTCGTGGCCCTCTCTTACATGTCCAGGGAAATGCTGATTGCCACTTTGGGGTTGATAAGCAATTTTCTTCAGGCCAGTTTGGCCAGGAATCCAGGAGGTTTTTTGCCATCCTCTGGGCATGGAGCAGGGGTCACTGGTGTGTGTGTGTGGGGGGGGGAGATATTTGTGAATTTCCTGCATTATGCAGGGGGTTGGACTAGATGACCCTGGAGGTACCTTCCAACTCTATGATTCTACAAAAGGTATTTACACTGGAAACAGCGTGTCCACACAGGAGTTTTGTGCTCTGTTTCCTCCAAAAGTTTCCTCCTGGTTTACACTTAATCTAAGCCAAACTCGTGTCGTAGCTTTAAATAAGCCAGACTTGTCTGCCATAAAGGGATGATAATGGTACAGATTTTTTTGTAAGGATTACAAGAGAATAGAATGCTTGGATTTGGCAAGATGCAAGCAGAAACATCAACTCAGCAAGGTTCCACTTGCATAAGACCTAGCACTTTCCTCCCTATATATGCTAATGCCCAGAAATTGGTTGCACAATGTCTGACTTACTGTGGCTATCATGGTTCTTTTTTGGGTTTTTTACATTTTCACTTATGCATGAGCTCTAGCACAAATAGAAATTTTGCACCAGATCTAACCCCAATGTACACGAAGCTCTTTGAATACTGAAAGCACTCTATAAATGTGAAGTCTTATTGAACCTGGGACCATCAGTAGAAGATGGTAAGCTATAGGCTTTCCAAATAACTTATGAAACTGCCTTTCTCCAAGGCTAGGTGTCTAGCTAAGTTTCCTCAAACTGGTAGCAACTGTCTGAGATCAAGTTGATTTGCTGCACTGCTACCAAAAATCCTTGTTACCAGAAATGGCAGGGACTAAACCTTGGGACTTCCAGCCTGCACAGCCAGTTGACTACCCTCTATATGTCTGCAGATCCTCAATTTAGAACAGTGGTCCCCCAGTCTTTTTGGAATGGTCTAAATTTACTTGTCCCTTGGACTGCAAGAAGATCAAATCAGTCAATCCTAAAAGAAATCAACCCTGACTGTTCCCTGGAAGGCCAGATAATGAAACTGAAGCTCAAATACTTTGGCCACCAAATGAGAAGGGAGCACTCCCTGGAGAAGACCCTCATGCTGGGAAAGATTGAAGGTCAAAGAAGACGGGGACGGCAAAGGATGAGATGGTTAGACAGTGTCATCGATGCAACGAACATGAAGTTGAGTCAACTTCAGAGGACGGTGGAAGACCGGAAGGCCTGGCATGATCTGGTCCATGGGGTCGCGAAGAGTCAGACTCGACTGTGCGACTGAACAACAAAATTTACTTGGTGTCAGGACCTGCTAAGGAAAAAGATCACAGATCATTAAAACTGCAAGAACCTGTGACCCACAGGCTGGGAAACACAGATTTAGGCGATGGTCAGAGGGAAGGTTTATCAAAGGAGTCCAGTGCGGCAAGGCAAACATTTGGCACCCGGCTTTGGTGCTTTCCAGAATCGGCAGCAGCCCTGGCTGGACGGCTTTGGGTTGCAGCCCGTCCCGCTGCTACTCGACTTTCTGCAGCCAGCAAACTGGGGGTGGGGAGAGCTTACTGCGCTGTCCGCGGGGAGACCTGTTGGCTGTCCACAGAGTGGCGGAGGCACAGACAACAAAGGCAGCTGCTTCTTTGCCTTGCCAGCCATCAGCTCCAAGGGCTGGGGAGAGGGAGAGAGAGCGGATGAAAGGATCTCTGTCTTGTTCTAAAGGGAAAAATAACAGAGGGGGATAAAATCCCCGGCAGAACCTGCACGCGAACCAATGAGCTGTATACGGGGACACATTTGGAATAACGAGGTACCCTTCTGGTTATCCCAAACTCAAAAAAAGGATCTCTGGGAAAAAGGTGTGGAAAATGATCAAAGATTAGAAGCCTCTTCCATATGAGCAAATGGGAAAGCTAGAAGGGCTTTTCAGTTTAGGGAAAAGAAGGCAAGTAAAGGGATGTGAAAAAAATAACAGGTAGGCTGTGGAGAAAGCAAGGCAGGGGAGCCTTTTCTTCCATAATCCTAGAGTAACTAGATGAACTTGACGGGTTGTAGATTCAGAACAAAGTCCTTCGCAGAACACATTACAGGACTTGATACCCGGAGGTGAGGGCCGCTGGTTCCAATGACTTTCAAAAGAGATTAGACAAATCCATGGAGAAGAGCTACCGACAGGCATGATAGGAAGGAATGGAACCTCCACGTTCGGGGGCAGTGGACCCCTCGGTACCAGATACTATTAGCAAATAAGGCTGTTTAAAGCTGGCTTTTGCTCCAGTCACGTATCAGCTGGGGTGACAAAGCAAAATGGGCAAAGGGGTGAGGGCAGCCATGCCCATGGATTCAGCCTTCAAAAGCTGTTTGCTCCCCCCCCCCAATGCTTTCCTGACAGCTGAGCACAATGCTGATATCTGAGCTCTGGTGAAGAGAAAAACATTTGGGGGAGGGACGTGGGGTGCGCGCCCTTTGCTTCTAAAATTTACCCCTCCAATGGATCTGCTGCCATCAATGTCTAACGGACCGGGAATCCACGCCGATAACAGAACCGTGCAATTTTCGCTTATGCTGCCAGTGTAATCTTGATGCACATCTGTCGTGAATTTGTTATTGTATATTTATTTATTTGAAATATCTGTAGGCTCGGCTTTCTCCTGAGCCTCTCATGTAAACACACAAACAGGATCCTTACCCCTCCCCGGTGAAGAGAAAGTGTAACGTACGCAGAGCAAAAAACGAGTCTGCCATGGGCTCAAACTCAGACTGAGTTAATGTCTGAAAAGAGGATTCAGCGAAGGAAGATGGAAGGTACCTCCCCTATAGCTCTCCCTGCCGTCTACCCAAAAATCTCTTTGACGACTACAGCAGGAGCCGCCAAATACTTCTAAGACAACCTTCAAAGCTCTGAGGACTGAAAACTTGCGTTCTTAAAACACGATTACTTGGGAGACTGAATTTGAATACACACCATCTCATATTGGGTCTCCTTGGCTTGCTTTGTCCACACTGCCAGGCTCATAAACAGATACCCACTGACACTTTCCCCACAATCTAGAGGCACAGCAAGAGTTCTGGAATTTCCTCCGCCCTTGTTGGGGCCACACATACAGTCAATGCACTCAAAAGTTTAGGCGGTGTGACGGAAAATGCTGTCCTCAAGTCCATAAACACAAAACCCTCAATTCCTCAGGTCATCCAAGGAACAAAGAGAGAGGAAAAAAAGCAACAGGGGTCAAAGGATTTAATCAGTAAGTAGGATGATTTTTTTTAATTAAACCAAGCTATTTATATTGTATGTACAAAAAAATTCCAAATCTTAAAAAAATGATATTTTACACCTAACTTCCCCTTTCCCACCCCCATCCCACCCCACTCTCCCAGGCCCAGGTCCTTCTTTTGTTTACATCTTGATAACTCGGGATAGGAGGAATTCTTCAGATAATCTGCATCTTTAAAGGGGGGGGGGAAGCAGAGGAAGGGCTGGCGCTCTGAAGAAACTGCAGAGAGCCCCTTCCCCCCAACCACCCATGCTGACCCCTGGAGAGGAAGATTCAGTATCGGACTCAAGGCATCCGACTCTTCCTTTCTGTGCGGCTGTATGGAGCAGAGGCCAGTCAAAGAGGTGTGGTGGGGATGGGGAAAGTCCATGAACCGCCGCTAATCTTCATCCAGTCAAGGTTTAGGGAAGGGACTCCTTTCCATTCCGCTGTGCACATCAACCAGGGAAGAGGCTCCAGTGTTGCTCTACCAGCCGTTTCAAGTCGTCTACCTGTCCGTCATCCCTCGCCTGGTTTTGCAGGCCTCCTGGGGGGACGTTTGCAGGGAGGGGCTTTCAATAGGCCACGGCTCCAGAGTCCCGTGGGGTTGTGAAGAGCACGTCCGCTTTGGCGTTGATGAAGTAGGTGGCGACGAACGAGATGATCAGGATTACTATGCCCACGACGAGTGTGATGATCTAGCACGGGAGAATGAGAAGAACCAAAATGATGGGTATAACGCAACCGTTGTGTGTGTGTGTGGGGGGGGGTTGTCAATAAAAGGATGCAGCCATGTTACTGAAGCCTCAAGGGGTTGAGATCCTGTCCTGCAAACAGCATGCGTGCAAGGGACCTGACCCACGGAATCCACCTTCCCCCACCCCACAATCTTTGTAGAGAAGCATCTTTAAAAGTGGAGGCTGCTCTCATCGGATACAAAATGAGACTCTATCCTCCATGGAAGACATACACAAAGGGGGGAAAATGTGAAGACAGAACGACTGCTGAATATGAACCAAACAACACATTACATTTGGTGTAGTGATTAGGAGCGTGAACTCTAATCTGGGAGAACCGGGTTTGATTTCCCCACTCCTCCACATGCAGCTGCTGGTTTGACCTTGGGTCAGTCACGAGCTCTTTTGGAGCTGTACTCTCAAGAGCAGTTCTCAAGAGAGCTCTCTCAGCCCCACCTATCCCACAGGGTGTCTGTTGTGGGGAGGGGAAGGGAAAGGAGATTGTAAGCCACTCAGACTCCTTCGGGTAGTGAAGGGCAGGGTATAAATCCAATCTCTTCTCTTCTCCTTCATTGGGAATGCATGATCCGGTGATCTTAACATGTAGTTTAAGCTTAAAAAGGGTACAATTTTACTCACTCATGACTTGGGGCAAAGTCATGCAGAAGAATACACACGTGCATGCTCATTCACTCTGCATGAATTGTGCAAATGTTCAGAAATTCAGCATTTTCCCAACTCTGGTATGCAGAAATATTAACCCTTCCAAGATTTATACACACTGGGATCTAAAGTCTAGTCTATAAATATAGTGGAACCAGGTGGCAGATAAATATTTGTTCCATCACTTTAGATTACAGGGAGGGTATGACAGTTTTGAAGAGAAGAGATTGGATTTATACCCCGCCCTTCACTACCCAAAGGAGTCTCAGAGCGTCTTACAAACTCCTTTCCCTTCCCCTCCCCACAACAGACACCCTGTGAGGTAGGTGGGGCTGAGAGAGCTCTGAGAGAACTTGTGACTGACCCAAGGTCCCACCAGCAGCTGCATGTGGCGGAGTGGGGAATCGAACCCAGTTCTCCCAGTTTAGAGTCCGCGCTCCTAACCACTACACCAAACAAGCACCCATAACATAGGTAGGTATGTCAAGTGCTATCGAGTCGCTTACAGCAACCCTGCAGGGCTTTCAAGGCAAGAAACCAAGAGAGGTGGGGTTTGCCACTACCTGCCTCTGAGTAGCATCCCTGGGCTTCCCTGGCAGTCTCCCATCCAAGCACTAACTGGTGCCGACCCTGCTTAGCTCCTGGGATCTGATGAGGCCGGGATAGGAGCCCAGGCCATCCAAGTCAGGGCATGACACACCTACTGAGAAGGTTTCGGCCCAGCCTTTACCGTGCTGGGGCTAGAGTTCCGCTTGCAAGGGGTTTATGGAGGGAAGCCATCACACACGTGACCCACCACCCCGCAGCCTGAAGGGTGTACAAGCGCAATCCTCTGCCAATATACTTCTTGCGTCAGATCTGTGGAATCCTGAATGATGTGGCTGGTACTGCCTTTAGACTGGAGCTTGGCCGGCATGCAGTTGAATCTAGGCCTTGGGATATTGGCATTAAATCTGAAACTCAAAATAACGTTCTCTGAGGATAACAGTCCGTGGAATCAGGCTATAACAGACAAATGGAATATTATACGATGCTGAGAAAGTTGTTTTTGTGTTAGGGTGTCCTCCTAGCCCGTAAGACTATCAAGCAGTTGATTATGAAGACTGATATCGATAGTAGTATCTGCTGGGCTTCTCTCCATACGGGAATCCCGCCACTCTTTACAATCCCCAAATACTTGTTTAGCCTTACAGTTCCAAGGTGCAGGCGAGCAATTATGCTCACAAGATTAAATGAGCTACTGTCTGCAATCTCTAAAGGCCGTCTATAAGGTGTACCGTTTTCAGAGAGATACTGTGGTCGTAGCTTAGGGGGTACCAGTGCCTTCTTACCATGTAAGGATTCTTACCACCTGCAGTCAGAAATAGGAACAAGTGCCATCTTACCCATCTAAGAATTCTCACCTCCTTCATTCTGTCGTGTGCAGACACTAGGCCCAAGTTCCACGCACTGGAATCCCCTACCTCAGCCAAGAGGCGCAAGAGCATGAAGCCGGGCAGTAATCTTGGCCTTGAGAAATCAGTGGTAGCTCAGGATGGGTGGGGGCCAGCCTGATCTTTTGCCACGACAACTGGGCCAAGGCTGGAAGGGGCTGGGGACCACTGATGCCCAGGTAAATGAGAAGATACAGCACTGGGGAGCGGGGGGAGACCCCAGATTCCTAATGAGATACCGAAGAAGCTCAGAAGTACAAGCAGTGTGTGAGGTCTAACTTAGACCACAGAGTCATCTGGTCAATTAGGAGTGCCCCCACAAATGGGCAGATAAGGCCACAGGAAGGAGGCCACAAAAAGAGAGCAGGGTGAACCCATACACACACACACACTTCTTCCTTCCCCAAGTCCATTTTGGGGTCGGCACAAATGGGAGATGGGGCCCAACGCAGCACCCTCTACGTCAGCGTTTCTCAGGTTGTGGGCTGGGACCCAAAGGTGAGTTGCGAAGCGGGTCTCAGGCCAGCCCTCCTTAATCGCGGCCCCTGCCCTTTCCACAAAGGTCTGACCCAGGAAACAGCATCTTCCCTTTCATACATTAGTTGGTATTTTTTTCTTCACTGCATATGCAGGTTGATTGAGTAAAACGTGTCCGGACGGTTACTAGAGTGAGTTTTGCAGAAACTTGGGGGTGGGGGGAATTAGAGGGAGTACGGGAGAAGGAGAGGGTGGTCAAAGGCTGGAACGTAGCCTCCACATGCAACGGCTGTGTACATCAGAATACCGCTCGCTTGGGGTTCAGGGTGGGGGGCAGCTGCACCCTTCGCGCCATGTTCGTTGGTCGCGCCAGTGCAGAAAACGGGATGCGGAACTAGATGGGTTCCAGGGTCATATTTCATCAAGAGCTTCTAAAAAGCTGGTCTTGGATGGGTCACTATTCCAAGTAGATTTGGACTGGTGGGTCACCATACCAAAATAGTTGGAAACTGCTGCTGTACATCATCCTGCCGTGAAGCACAGTGCCAGGGCTCCTGACGAGCGCCACCATTTTCAGGACTGTGCTCAAGATACAAATTATTGCAATTTTATTTAATTAACTGTTTTATCTTATTATAATACTACGTAAGCCGCCCTGGGCCTGCTCCGGCAGGGAGGGTGGGATATTAAATAAATAAATAAATAAAAGTGTAGAGAACACCAACTGGGATCCTGTTTCCTGGACTTCGGCACGCTTCATCTGTCCCTGCTGCCAAGCAGGTTGCTGCGTTATGGTTTGGGAGGTGCCGATGCTTACCTCGAGCTGCCTGCTGGCTACGAGAAAGATCCGGGCGTGGAGCTCTTTCCAGCGGCTCTCCGTCCAGGTGGAGTACTGTGTGGAGCCCCAGTCTTGGAGCTCAAAGGCCGGGGAGCTGGCTGAAGTGAGACGGACCGTTGACCTGACGCAGAACGGAAGGCGGCTGGATGTCGTAGAGTTGGGGTCCTGGGGACCTTGCACCCATGCGTACTCGTACAGCTGCAGAGAAAGCAGAGGAAGTGAGCTGGTGTGCCAGACCCAGGTGATGATTCTGGCCGGACTTTCAGAAGACAGCCTTGCAGAACACACACAGTGGTACAGTTGAGAAAAGGTCCCTGGGGAAACCAAGTTTAGGGGCTCCTGGATTTGTGAAAAGCTCTCCTGCAATTAACCTCCCCCAACCCACAAATATGGCTTCTTGTCTAAGGCCTCATATTTTGGATCCTTCTTTATTGTCAACCTGAAGAGCTTGATGCCAATTTACCAGCATCAAGAAACTACGGAACTGTTGGCGACTGCAGCTACCATAGTCATTTGCTTAACTGTGTTCCAAACAGATTCAGGTGGGGTAGCCGTGTTGGTCTGAAGCAACAGAACAAAGTTTAAGTCCAGTGGCACCTTCCAAGACCAAAAAAGTTTTATTCAATGTGCAAGAACACTTTCATGTGCAAGAACACTTCTTCAGATACAGTGAAACAGAATTTCCTCAACCATTACATACAGGAAGGGGGTGGGGTTAGTTGCCAGGAAGGGCTAGTTAGAATCAAGTTGGAAAACTCACAGAGTGGCAAACCACCATTTGCTGTTATAAGCAAGAAACCAAGGTGATCCTTGGATGACATGTTCTTTTCTTCCCCTATGTATGGCCAGGTAATGAACAACAGTTAGTCATGAAGTTCAAAAACAACAAACCATAGTTTGCTCTTCTCTCTGTGTAAACCCCACAGGGAAACAACTCTGTGTAGCTGTCATCATTGCTGTGAATGCAGAGACGTTTCACAATGGCAACAGAGCACCCACATGGAAGTTTGGCCTGGTTAGATTGCTATAGACTAACAATGTTATGTTGGTGCAATAGATCAGTGTACTGGTTTCCAACTTTTTTTTTTAAGTCTAGTCTCTTGATCATAGAATTACGAGGGGAAATGAGCAGCCGCCACATTTCCCCTTATAACTCCACAACCAAAATATCTACAGACTCACCTTTTGTAAAAAATGAAAGCTGGGAACAAGCACATTGGTGCAACAGAGCAATTTAACATTATTAGGCTATAGCAATCTAGCTGTTACCATTTTTTTAAAGCATGAGGAAGCCTTCCAATGGGAAGGAGGAAATGGTGACTGCAGGAACAGAGGTAAAAGCAAATGGTTCTAATGTGGGAGAGGACTGACAAAAATGTTCTCACACACAGCATTTAAAGGTGCTTTGACTGCAATTTTTCAACAAAGAACATACCAAACCAAATTTGGGAAAAGTCACAGCAAAGCAGGGGGAGAAAGAAACAAAAAAGCAGGGCCAATGGAGGATGTCACGCGGATGCTCCCAAAAACAGTACTGCCTAAAAGGAAGCCAAGGCAAAGCAAAACATCTGTGTGGAAAATGGTATTTTTTATCCTGGCCCGGAAACCTGGTTTTTAGGGGAATGGACAAACCAGAATTGGCAGAAATCAGATGCAAATGAACCAACTACAGTTTGCTGTGAGCATCATTCAACATCTGGCAACAGAGGGAAGGAGTTCAAGAATCCGCTGTTCAATCATGAAGACTTAAAGCCACAGGTTGCAGAGTTCCGCTTATAACTTGGCTCCATGATGGAGATTTTGCAGAAAACAGAGTCAGTGAACAGTCACCTATCAGTCATCATGGCGTATGATCTCCACTGAACACTATGGACTCCTATATCTCTGTGTTATCTGGCAGCAAGAATCAGCCAGGGCTTTTCAGATAGATATTCTATGACTTTGCACAACAAATGCTCTTAACAATTTCCTCCTTGCATGTACTTTTTAAAACAAATGACGGTCATAATTTTGGTCCTCAACCTTTGGGGGGGGGGGGTTTAATCAGGAACATTACAAGGAACTTGCTCACAAGATTGCTGACTGTTTAAGTACTGTCATGGGATGAAAACTGGCCAGGAATAGGGCAGTCAGATATCAGGAATTTGTCATACAAACACATTCATCCATATTATGGCATAGAACTGGTAGGTGCTCCATTGGTTTAGGACAACTCAGGATGCTCCTCCTTCAACATTAATTTCACAGGCAGGGGGGTTCTGCTAGATCTAGATATTCAGTTGATGTCTGTGGTAAAACACACTGTCTAGGACGAAGTGCCAGCTCAGTCCCCTCCTGGACCAAGACAGCTTTGCCACGGTTACCCACGCTCTGATTAACACAGAAGTTAGACTGCTGCTATTCAATAAATGTGGGGCTGCCCATGAAGACTGTTCAAAAGCCCTCAACAAGTCCAGCCAAGGTGACAAATCATAATGTATGAACCTCTCTCACCAAATATCTTCACTGTGTCCCATTGTGGTCCCTGGCAAAAGTTAAACTCTTTAATCTATAAAGCCCTCTGTGGCCCAGGACCCAGGTACCTGATGGAATGCCTTCTACACTATGACCCTGCTGGATCCTTAACCATCTGTAGCAGGAGCTATTCTAGGAAACGCCACCTCCAGAAATTAAGTGGGTAGCGGCCAAAGAAAAGGGCCTTCTCTGTGGGGCCACCCCATTTATGGTACACATTCCCCAGATGCATTTATGTTGTGCTTACAATGTTGCCTTTTAGGCTAAAAAAATCTTTGTTTGCTTGTGTGACCTTGGGTCAGTCACAAGCTTTGGCACAGCTGTCCTTGAAAAAGAGCAGTTTGTGTCAGAGTTCTCTCAGCCCCGCCCACCTTACAGGGTGTCTGTTGTGGGGAGGGGAAGGGAAAGGAGTTTGTAAGCCGCTCTGAGACTCCAAGTGAAGGGCGGGGCATAAATCCAATCTCTTCTTCCTCTTCTTCCTCTTCTTCCAGCTTTTAGCAAAAACAGCTCAATAGCTCCAGCTCTAAGCACAGGTATTCTCATTTCCTTTTATTGCTGAGAATTTAAAACTCTGGAGCTCTTATGATACTTCATGACGACAGAAAGTGCCGTCAAGTTGCAGCTGACTGATGGCAGCTCTGTGGGGTTTCCACACAAGAGCTGAGCAGAGGTGGCCTGCTGTTGCCTGACTCTGCATAGTGATCCTGGATTTCCTTAGCAATCTTCCATCTGAGCACTAACCAGGGCGAAACCTGATTAGCTGCCTAGATTTGAACGTGAGAAGAGCCCAAACTTGATTAGCTGCCTAGATTTGAATGTGAGAAGAGCCCCGCTGAACCAGACCAATAGTCCATCTAGTCCAGCAATCCTGCCTCACACAGTGGCCAACCAGTTCTTCTGCAGGGCCAACAACAGGGTTTGGAGGCTGAGACCTTCCCAGTGTGGCCTTCTGGCTCTGGGATTCAGAGGTTTACTGCCTCTGAATATGGAGGTTCCCTTTAATCCCCATGGCCAGTAGCCACTGACAGACCTCCATGAACCTAATCCACTTGTAAAACCATTTATTCCTATGGCCATCACTCTAACGAGATAGGGTTAGCCTAGGCCATCTAGGTAAGGGCAATTCAAATGATATTTGAATACAATTGCCCATGAACATTTCATACCTACACACACATGCGTGTGTGTGTATATTTAACATCATGAGCTGCCTTATAGGGAGTTACAACCTTTGGTCCATCTAGCTCAGTCAGCATCATCTCCTCTGGCCGGCAGTGGTTCTCCAGAGTCTCAGGCAGAGAAAGGTCTTTCCTAACACCAGTATCCTTTTAACAGGAGGCGAACGTGGGACAGCGTGTGCCTTAGTGCTAAACCACAGCCCTTTGCTCATGAGCCACCTGGGACACAAGGCAGCCACAAGGCAGGATGGGAACGACTAGCACCAATAAAGGGAGGCAGGACAGGGCTCCCCCCAAACAGAATCAAGCCTAGTTTCATTTGCTTTGCAAACGGACAGATTGAAGACCACCAACTCGTCTAACGGACTCACTCCTGCAGTACAACACGGCCTGCAAATTTAGCACTTATGGGGGAGGGGAGAAACCTTTTTGCCCCGGGTGCATCCACACACCCCTTGGCTTTCTTATCTGAGTCATCTACCTTGCCTCCCCGGAGTACTCTCCTTTCCCATCTGCTCTGTGGGATGGCAGATGTTTGTGCCCTTGCACAGAGGATCCGATAGCTTTTTCTGGTTTTTTGCAGTCAAGTTGCAGATGAACTTATGGTGACCATGTAGGATTCTCAAGGCAAGAGACAAAACAGAGGTGGTTTGCCATTGCCTGCCTCTGCACAGAAGAGGAGACTGGATTTATACCCCGCCCTTCACTCAAGAGTCTCAGAGGGGCTTACAATCTCCTTTCCCTTCCCCTCCTCACAACAGACACCCTGTGAGGTAGGTGTGGCTGAGAGAGCTCTTTCATAGACTGCTCGTGACTGAACCGAGGTCAAACCAGCAGCTGCACGTGGAGGAGTGGGGGAACCAAGCCTGGTTCTCCCAGATTAGAATCCACACTCTTAACCACTACACCAAACTGGCTCTTAACCACTACACCCAACCGTAGACTTCCTGGGTGGTCTCTCCTGCCCGAATACCTGCTCGGCTTCCAAGATCTAATGAGATGGGGCTAGCCTGGGTCAGGGCCAATGCTCCCTCTAAGCTGTGGAGTCCTGTGAGCAAAAATTCTACTTTGTGAGCTACTGGCATTACAATTGTGAGTGAGTCATTTGGCTGCTGCATAAACTGGTTTGCTCTGGAGCCCATCCTTCCTGAGCGAAGACAAAAATGTGTGAGCTGGAGGCTAAAAAACTGTGAGCTAACTCACACTAACTCAGCTTAGAGGGAACACTGGCAGTAAGTCAGTCTCCAACATTCCTGCATCATCTGGATGCCCAGCGTACGCTTGCATGGACCGAGGGGTGGCAGGGCGAGCAGAGCAGACAGCTTGGATTTGCAGCAGGAGATTAATAGTTTTACCCTTCCCCATCTTTATAGGCCTTCTGCGAGGGAATGGAGGATGTCCTTCAGGCTGGATGGTGGGGTGTTTTGTGCTGAAGGTCTGTGGAGCAAGGGGGCAAAACGACTGGCGGGGAAGGAAAAGCCTGATCACGCGGCCAATCAAAAGGAACAGGACAAGCAAACTCACGTCTCCGTCGGAGTTCAAGCACTGCTCCTTGGTCAGGTTGGTCACTGCGCCCGTCAGATTGGCCAAGACGTAATGGACGAGGTAGGTTGCATTCACGGGTTTCGAAACAGCAATGTAGTACGGAGGAGGTTCGTTTTCTGGAAGAAATGGCAGCAAGAGTGAATTTTTAAGACAGGCTGCTCAAGCAGACGGAACACAGTCAGGATGCGGCCTCAGGAAGAAACACCCCGCCCCGCCACCTTCAAACCAATCTTACCCAGAATTCCTTTCAAGTCCGGCTTAATAATTGACTGGAACCAGCTGTTGTTTGTCCTCACCAGGAAGCCATACAACATACGTGTGACCTGACAACGACATGAACATGCTCAGTCAGGACCACCAAGCCAGCGTGGTGTGGCCTGTCAGCGATCAGGATGCAAACCTCTGCTTTGTCACAAAGGACACCAAAAGACCCGGGGAGAGCCAGTGTGGTATAGTGGTTAAGAGCAGCAGATTCTAAACTGGAGAATGGGGTTGGATTCTGCACTCCTCCCCATGAAGCGCGCTTGGGCCAGTCACAGTTCTCTCAGAACTCTCTCAGCCCCACCTGCCTCACAGGCTGACTGTTGTGGGGAGAGGAAGGGAAGGCAACTGTAAGCCGCTTTGAGACGGCTCAGGGTAGAGTAAAACAGGGTATAAAAACCCAACTCTACTACTAGCCTAGGCCGGAATGGGCGGGATAGAAATCAATAAACTAAATAAATAAATGTTACTTTCAAAGTCTATGATTCCATGTCAGAATAGAATGATATTCTGAATACAGAATTTAAGCACCCTCAAAAATTGCACCTACAAGTCTACACACCCCCCCCCCCCCCGGGAGTATAGGAGACCATACGAAAGCTGTGAAGGATGCCTTGGGTATTAAAAAAAAAGGTGGTGGGGAGAGAATTCAGTGAGTGAACATTTGTATTTCCAAGACCGATTCCCTAGGACATGTGGGAGCTCCAATTCTTGCCCCTCCAACTGTCTTTCAATAATACGTTCTGCCAAGTAATTGTGTGCTAAAATGTTTGATTGGCATAAGTGACAAGTATCCTGTTTAGAGGACAGATAACCCATCTTCTGACACAAAAGATGCTCAAAAACACAGCACAGTTAATTACAACTACAATGCAGCCCAAAAGGAAGGGCCAGCAAAACAATGGGCAGAAAACCCGTAAGATACCAGTCTAGAAAGTAGAACAGAGCAAAAGTTCAGTAGCATCTTAAAGACTAACACAAACTTGCAGCAGGGTATGAGCTTCTCTGAGTCACTGCTGCAGATATCTGAAGTGAGCAATGACATAAGAACATATGAAGCTAATGTTAGTTCAGGCCAAAGGCCCATCTAGTCCAACACTCTGTCACATAGTAACCAAAAATACCAGCTGCCATCAGGAGGTCCAGCAGTGGGGCCAGGACACTAGAAGCCCTCCCACTGTTGACCACCCCCCCAAGCCCCAAGAATACAGAGCATCACTTGCCCCAGACTTGAGAGTTCCTAACCTTGCGGCTAATAGCCACCGATGGACCTCTGCTCCATATGCTTATCCAATTCCCTCTTGAAGCCGTCCATGCTTGTGGCGGCCACCACCACCTCCTGTGGCCGTGAATTCCATGTGTTAATCACTCTTTGGGTGAAGACTCATGAAAGCTCATCACCTGCCACAAATTTTATCAGTCTTTAAGGGGCTATGGGAGTCTTGCTCTTTTCTGTTGCACCAGACACACATGGCTACCCATCTTGACTAGTCTACAAAGGTTAAAGTATCTGCCACAAGAGAAAGAACGGAAGAGGGAGAAAGAGAGAGAAAGAGAGAGAACGAAAGGGGCCTGAATCCAGCAGATCTTGGCAAGAAGCCGGATGCCCAGTTCTGGAACAGGTTCTAGCTCCTCTGCTCTGCAGCAGCCGCTGCACTGATAGATGGCAACACAGCCACGGGTTCTCTGTGCTAGATCTCAGAGTGGTCACCGTGTTTCTTCCTCCACCCTCCAAAACATTTTGGGTTGCAACACCGCCCTCCCAAGACCGGTCTCTAGAACTGCTCCAGGATCAGAGGGGCCTGTTTGTTCTCCCCATCCCAACTGGAACAAATCAGAGCAAAAAGACCCCCCCCCTTAAAAAAAAATAGGCGAAAGCAGCTCTGGGAGAGGACGCAAGACAACATGTTGTGTCAACACAAGGAGAGAGAGAGAAGAGAGACAGACAGAAGGGAAATACACGAGGGCTCAGGCCAGGCGCCAGGCCCCCCGGATCCCATCTGCTCGTACCGTCCTTGGATCCGCCTGAATAGCTGAGGCGTTGCCACTTCCCCCTGCAAGCTGGTAGAGCGCGCGGGCAACCACAGTGGCCACTTCTGCCAGGGACTGCGGGAGAAGGGAAGAGGGCTCGGTGTTAATCAAGACAGGCAGGCCCGGCGCACGGAAAGAGCAGGCCAACAGCCCTCCCGTGCCTGGCCTGCGCGCCGGCTGCTGGCGTGTCTCTATGGCAACCGAGCACGCGAGACAATACAAGGTGCTCCCCCCCACCTCCAAAAGCCTTTGCAAAGGACAGATGGAAGATCTCCCCCCCCTCCCCGATCATGTCAACAGAACTCCACCTCGGCCGTCTCCGTCACGTAA